TCTGCAAATCCTTGTGGGTTGCTCACTGTGCACTTGGGCTGTAGTCCAGTAGCCAGCAAGGTGTACCTGGACCATAGTTCTCCCAGGTAGGGTCTGCCAGGGGGAGGGAAGGAGGGAAAGCTGAAGACAGGCAGATAAAGGTAGGTAAGCTGGTTGGTGGAAAGGAGAAAAAGAAGAAGGGAAAAGGGAGATGGTGTGCATGCTTTCAGAGAAGAGAAAGAAGAAATAGTGAGGGAGGGGGAAATGAGATATTCCCGCAAGTCATCTGCTTGTACATGCATAAATCTGGGTCAGACACATGGGCAGGAAGGTATTTACATATATTTCAAGCACTTCCATTTGTCCATCCCTAACTTTAGGTATACATATTCAATATAATACAAAAATACAATAGAAATAGATAATGTGATAAAGTGTTGATAAATGATATTGTTTGGTTCCTGTCTTTTATAGGGAAAAAGATGGCAAAGCAGGAAGATCTGAAAGAGATGGGTGATATTTCCTCAGGGATGAGTAGCTCAATCATGCAGCTTTATCTCAAACAGGTCCTTGAGGCTTTCTTTCACACGCAGTCCAGCGTACGTCACTTTGCTCTCAATGTTATTGCACTGACGCTAAACCAGGGTCTTATCCATCCAGTTCAGGTACGCAATAACACATATATGCTTTTTGGTTGTATTTGGTTGTATTTTTATGTCACGTTTTGAGGCTTCTCAGGATGTTCAGCAAAGTTATCATAGTGGTTTAGCAGAATGATGCATCTATGCCAAGTGTCTAATATTTTTTTTAAGCCTTTAGTGTAACCTTGGGAAAGAATATCTTGGTAAACCATTTGACTGAAATCTTTATCCCGTAGAGACTCTTACCCCAACAGTCATTGGCTTTGGTCTCTGTGAATTATATTCACCTTACCTTTAAAAGTGATTACAGCTGTTCCTTGTTTGTAGTTAGGCTTGCCAAGTCCCCCCGGGGGGTGGGGAAACCCCTGCCCCAGAGTCCCGTTTCCTGCCGCCGGCAGATCGGGCCCCAGGGGAAACTCCACCCCCACATGCACGTCACCCGGAAGTGACGCGGGTACGCTGGGGGCGGGGCCACGGTCATCCGAGGGAAAACTCTATGGTTTTCCCTTGGATGGTCCTGGCCCCGCCCCCAGCGTGCCTGGTGTACCCACGTCACTTCCGGGTGACGTGGATGCGGTGTGCGCGCGCGCTCCAGACGACAGCCAGGAGTCCCCCGCTGCGGTAAGTTTCTGACTTGGCAACCCTATTTGCAGTTGTTCTCCCATTTCTTGTAACATGGTCTGTGACCACCAGCAGACTTAATTATTCTAATTGCTATGCATATTCCAGTAAAATAAAAGTTCAAATTATAGAAAGGGAGGGAAAGCCACTGCTAGTCAGAGTAGGTGAAAGTGGGCTGGACAGATCAGTGCCAGGTGGGCAGTCGTGTTGGTCTGAAGTAGTAGAACACATTTAGAGTCCGGTGGCACCTTTAAGACCAACAAAGCTTTATTCCAGTATACACACTTTTTCAAATACACTGGAATGGAAGTTACATTCCAGTGTATTTGAAAAAGTGTGTATGCACACGAAAGCTCTTACCTTGAATGAACCTTCGTTGGTTTTAAAGGTGCCCCTGGGCTCTAAAATTGGACAGACCAGGTTCATTTTGCCTTAAATCAGTTCTTATATTTATTTGATAAATATATCTCTGTTGTATATACCTCCCTTCCAATAGACAAGAAACGTTTTGAATAAGAGTTCAGATTTAACTCAGGGCCTATGACTGGTCTAAGGACTGTAGAAATAAATTGAAATTGAACCCAGGGCCTGTTAGGACATCACATATAGGGTGGCAGAAGTGAATCAGAATGCCAGTGGCGATACTTCCAAGTCCCAAACCCTGTGGAGAAAGCTAATTGCTTGTGAAACACAAATGGCTGGCAAGCATCTTTCTTTCTTTCACCTGCCACATGGAACAATATATCAAATTCTTTTGGTAGTATTGTTGGATAATTCCATTTTTTATCATGAGGTTCTGTTTGCATGGAATTCTGCTTCTGTTACCTTTGTATCACTATCATTGGCAGACCTGCAGTTATAAGTAAAGAAATCCATTTCAGAACCTTGTGTTGCATACATTTTGGGGTATGAATAAATGCATGCAATACAAGGTTCTGAAAATTTGGCCCTGGTTACCATACGTTACCTAACTTGAGAAAATATAGTAGGGACTGATGTGTTTATATGAAGTGCTAAGCTCTCAAGGTAATAGTGTATTATCTACTTAGAGTTATCTGGTTCACTTTAATACAAGCATGTCAGAGTAAATGGGCTGGTGGCTTTCAGCCCAGTAGGTAGTAAAACTAACTTTTTGTGCTCAGCTTCAAAAGCTTTGGCTGCTAACACATAGCAACAAATTTGTTGTATAACTTTTGCCTGAATTTCAGCACAATTGTCATGGTGTCATTATTTAATTTACTGAATGGCCTCCTTAAATTATCTTTTTTATAGTTGCTGTTGGAAATCAAGTATTAAATTACAAGGCCTTCACCCTGTAGTTCTTTGGTGTTCCATCTTGCCTCCTGTGGACTTCTTTTGCATGTCCTGCAGGCTTATAATGAATGCTTGTAGCTTGTCAGTCAAGGGAGGAAAAATACTGATGTGCGCAGGAACATGTGGGGATCTTACAATAATATTTCTGTCTCTTTTTTCAGTGTGTGCCATATTTGATAGCTATGGGCACAGATCCAGAGCCTTCTATGAGGAACAAAGCTGACCAGCAGCTGGTGGAGATAGACAAAAAATACGCTGGATTCATTCATGTATGTGCAGTTCTGCTTCTTTTCCTTAGTATAAAACACACATTGATGAACATTCAGATGGATATAAAAATATACACATCTTTGAAGAGCCAAACAAGGAATGAATACATATAAACTCTGCAAAATAATTTTTGTGTTTGTGTGCATAATCATCTGCAAAACAGCAGTCCTCTGGGGGAAATATCCAGCCAGGAATATTATATATATTTCTTAGAGTGCAGGTTCAATTTGCAAGTAAGGAGGCAGATCTAATATAGAAAGGTCCTTTTGTGGTATGGCTCAACTTCTCTTTTTTCCATTTCATCCCACTCATCATGCATTAGGCTATGCCTGTGTAATGTGGTCCAGTTGCAGCCCACTGGAAAAATCCCAGCTTCCCGCTGTTTGTTTGTGGCCCTTTGCCAGCCTTTATAGAGGGCACCCTAGGCTCAGTGAAGGCCAGCACAGGTGTGGGGGAATACCTGCTTCATTACATCCAAATCCACTCCTTATCTTTGTGGGTTTTGAAGTACATGGTGAAATTGGTGCCAGTTTTATCTCTTGATGTAGGCAGTCAGTCACGCTGCACAGCTCATCTGTGTCTGAGACCCTGTCAGTATATGCTGTGCTAGGAAACTTGGAAGCCTTGTGTTCTTCTGTCACTGAACTTCGAGGGTGGGAGCAGACTCAAACTGAGCCAGAAAAAAGGATGAGAGAGAAAATGGGGAAAGGGCACTGAAGACTGGATCTGCAGAAAGGCCTGTGAAATGATGACAGAGAAAAAGTAACAGGATGCAGGGAAGAGGAGAATGCTGTGTGGAGTACAGAGTAAAATATGTGAGATCCTGTAGCACAGGATAGAGGGAGAAAATGGAGACTTAAGGTGGGTTCATAAAAATGTAAGGAAGGGACAGAGGGGGAAAGTGCTAATGGAGAATTGGCTAAAAGACGATTGTAACAAAAATTATTTTCTGCAATCATGCAGCATGAATTTAACCATAAATGTAAAAGTTCTCTAAATATGGGTTCTTGCATTAGATTAGGCTCTGTATATTCCTGGCCCCCTCTCATGCTGGGCCCTTTTAATTTTCCAGCCATGAAGACGAAACCTTGCACAGTCACTGATCTGTTGCACTCCAGTGTGCTGTAATACACTCCCTGAAACCAACACATCTGCCAATTAATTCAGACCTAGAGAAAACCAGTGTGGTGTAATGGTTAGATTGTTGGGCTAAGATCTAGGGGACCCAGGTTCAAATCCCCACTCTGCAGTGGAAGCTGGCTGGATGACCTTGGGCCAGTCACACATTCTTAGCCCAACCTCACAGAGTGGTTGTAAGGATAAAATGGAGGAGAATGATGTAAGCCACTTTGGGTATCCATTGGGCAGCAAGCCTGGGTGTAAATGAGTAAACAAATACACAAACCCTTCATCAACAAAATATCAAAATGGAAATTGTGTACAATTTGTCATTGATTGTGCTAGAAGATGACTAAGTGTAATTTTAAAACCTGTTGAGGAAGATGGAAATAAAATAGTGCCACTAAGTTCCAAAATACCTGTATTAACACAGATCACCATCCTCTTTCAGTTTGTGTTAAGGAAAGTGAGATTTAATTGTATACCCCTCTGGTTTCAGATGAAAGCAGTGGCTGGTATGAA